TGAAACATTTTTATTCCTAAAATTGCAATATCTGTACCAGTGTAGTTCACCGCAAGCAAAACATGGCTTCAGGAGTTTTTTGTTTATTTTTCTTGGTATTTCACTTTTTGCTTGATAATCCGCAATTTTAGAATTCTTTTTGGTAGACTGACTTTCTTCTTTGTAGCGTATTTTCCTTACATGCGAAACGCCAGACTGTTGTATTTTTTTTTTTTAGTCTTTCTTTACGCTATCATATCTTGTGCAGTCTTCTGCCAACTTGTGTATCTTAAGACTTGGATCGCTTTCCAATTTTGTCAGTACTAATTTTATCAACTCTGCGTCTCTTTCCGATACCAGCCCCTGAACAAACATCAAGCACTTAAAATTGTTTGCACTTATCTCTGCCAGCTTGAATTCTTCACAATGCTTATTCACATTGGCTGCGTACGTTATATAGTCTTGTTCGTCATCTTTCATCATATTCAAACATTTCCACCTCTTGTGAAACAGAGATGTCTTTTTACTAAATAATTCACTTAATATATTTACCGCCTCAGTAAATGTCAACTCATAGTTTTTTCGGTAAAATGTAGTTTACCAATTTGTTATGCTCAGCAGTTCCTAATTTGCTTAAAAGAAGCCTAACTTTCTTTCCTTCAGACCACGAGTGGCAATCCTCGTTATACACGTCCGTATATTTTTTATAATACTCCTCAAAAGTTATCTCTTCATCTGGACTGTACGTGAATATTTCAATTGAATTCTATATTGTATTATCTGGGAAAGAATCATTTTGTAGATATTTCTTTTTCCCCTTCTCAGTTATTTCCAGAATTTTGTTTTGAAACTCCCTATGCATCTGTTCCATTTCTTGTTGAAATTGCATTTGTCTATTGAAAGTTTCCTCCTGTAGTTGCATCTGGAATATTTTCTGTTGCTCTAATATTGTCATCTGTTGTTCCGACTGGAACTTAAAGAATTCCAGGAATATATTTTTGCATTCCTCCATCTTCGCAAAAGTTTGCACAATGCCTAAATACTGTAGAGGTGGGTCGGGGGTCCTACGATTTTGCAATTCGTGACCTATATGAGCAAACTGTATTATCGGGAAAAAAAACAATATTTCACTAAGTTGACGTCTTGGCTTGCAAAAAACTTTGCCAAGTTTTTTTGTTTCGTTTTTTTTTTTTGTGAAGTGTGAATCCGAGACTTTATCGCCGAAGTTATTGTGAATTTTTCCTTCCACCGTATGAATTCGAATTTCGTCGCCAAATATTGTTATGGCGAGCGAATTTTTTTCCTCCGTATGAGTACGAAATCCCTCGTCGCCAAATATTGTTATGGCGAGCGATTTTTTTTTCTTCCTCCGTACGAGTACGAATTTTGTCGCCCAACGTTATTGTGACGAGCGAATTTTTTTTTCCTCCGTATGAGTACGAATTTCGTCGCCAAAAATTGTTATGGCGAGCGAATTTTATTTTTCACCGTACGAGTACGAATTTCGTCGCCAAACGTTATTGTGGCTAGCGAATTTGTTTTTTTTCGTATGAGTACGAATTCCTCGTCGCCAAATAATGTTGTGGAGTTATTTCGCAGTGGAGGCTTGTATTTGTACTAAGTCGGTCCTAAAATAGGTTCGACGTACAAAAACGTTAGAACTTGGTGTTACGCAGACCAATCTAGTTGTGGTCGCTGATTTCCTAGTCGTATTCGACTAACTGTCGTCCGACATCGACTAACTGAAAGACTCGTTAATTCTTACTCTCCTATTATTATTAATTGGGAGAGTCTTTTAATTATAATAATAGGTGTGTTCCACCGTAACAAAAAGTCAACTTTACGTCTTTTATAACTCATTATGAGTGACTGCTTTGTCATTGTTTTTTGAAATCTAACTTACTGAAAAATAGAATCAAATTTAAAAAACACCAAAATGGCGACTCTCAGTAAATCTCGTTTACAAATATCCTAAAAAAACGATAGTTAAAAAAAATTCGAATCAAAATGTTATATATTAATTATTACAAATGTTTTTATCCGAACAAGTTTTTATACAATTTTTGAATACCAGAAAAGTTTTTTTATTAAATTTGTAAATATTATAAAAGTAATAGAGGGCCGCATTAAAAGCCTTGACGAGCCGGATGTGGCCCGCGGGCCGTAATTAGCCCACACCTGATCTAGACAGTAAAAACCTGGAGTAGAGAAAATATGTAATCAGTGATACTGAACATTTTAAAACTTCCTGAAGCATATTGAGGGTGAGGAGTTGGATATACTTATAAATTACTTGTCGTCTGATGAAAAACATCATCCAATATACAGACTTTGAAGAAGGAAAAGCATTTAAAGGGAATATTCATCCAAGAAAAAAATGCCATATACGATTTAATGTACAAGCAACCAGAATTCAACAGGCTGGGAGAAAATTGGATCAATATCTTCAAGCATTGGCGTTCTGGCATTGGGACTGTAAATTCAAAGATCCCCTCCTCTCAAATTTGCAAAGGTGGGGTTTCAGCATTAGAGATGACTTTTTTCTGGACCGGTCCGCCCTCCTGTTTTTATTTTCCCCAAAACGCTCAATATCTCTCAGTCAGCTGGAAAGACAAACGCAACTGAAAATGTGGAAAGGGCTTCCCCAGCAAATTCTTGCAGAAGCTATTTTATGTTGATATCCGTTTTGACTATCAAACGGCGTATCGGAACCCCAGACTAACGCCATAACTTCTCAGCAAGAACATCAAAAGGCGGAGGACCCTCGGACATCCGCTGCTAGCAAATCCCTTTTAAAAGAAAGGTGTTTTTCTGCGGAGGCCCTAGGCACCCTAGAAGTAAGTGTTGAGGAACGAATTGCTACAATTGCAAGAAGGAAGGACATTTCACTAAAGTCTGTCATTTGAAAACTAGTAGTTTTCTGCTGCATTACTCGTCATGGCCACGGTAACTATTGTGCTACAGTAAGTTTCGAAAGCCAGTGTAAAATGCCTTGTAAGCAAAAAAAAAGTACCACGCTAGTAGATTCGGGAAGTAGACTTAGTTATATCGACACCAAGATAGCTCAGTCTATGGGGTTGAACGTTAGACCTACTAACTCTACCGTCAGCATGGCTTCTTCTGACTTGTTATTGAAAACTAAGAAAATGTAAAGCTAATATTATGCTGATGTGATCCTCGGACAAGACTTTCAAGGCCTGTACAAAAGAATAGAAATTTTATATGAGAGCGACCGATCACCTCTAAAACTGTCTGGACAAGCTAGCATAAGGATTTCACCTGCTACTCTGTTTTAAAATCTGTCCTCTGACTTTTAGACCTATATCTGTGAAATTCCAAAGATATTCTAGAGAAGAGGAAGTATTTATTAGGAAAGAAATAAAAAGCCTGTTGGATTCAGGTATCATTGAGCCCAGTATATCTCCGTGGAGAGCACAAGTAGTGGCAACTAAAATTGGAATACCTTACTAAAAATACCTTTTTTTCTAAGAATCAAAACGATTTTTAACAAGAAATTTTAAAGTATAATATGTAAAAATAAACTAAACCTAAAAAACATGAATATTATAAAGTTCCCCTTAAATAAAATTAGACTGCCCTTTTTGTTTTTGTTTTTTCACGGATTTTAAAGCCTGTCTGGGTTAAATTATATAATGTCGTTTGGGATCACAAATGGAGTGGCTGGTTTTCAAAGAAGGCTTAAAAGGAACATTCGTCTATATAGATGACGTTGTCGCGGTCGCCGATTAGCCGCTCCTTAGAAAGCCGACCTTGACCTTCACAACCCCTGATCTCGCAGATTTAGGTCAAGCAACATGCGAGAAACCGGACGACTAGTCCAACATCGTTGATGCCAAACCGTACCTTGTGAGCATCGGATTATGCAGCACCCGTCGAAACATCGGCAACCATTGATATTAATTTAATATCTACGGTTTTCTACCCCTCTAGCCAGGAGTACTTGAATCAATCGTTCCAAATATTGTCAGCCACTTTTTTTCGTCCAAATCCAAGCTGCCGCGGTCGATCCGCCCTGGAAGACGTATCACCTCTGTGACCTGCTTCGCCTTTGTGATACTTTGGCGCGATCCCGTTTCCACGGTCGATCCGCCCTGTGAAGTTATCACTGTTCTGCCTTGGCCCTGTTTAGGGACTCCGTCTTCGCCTGGTGATACACTTTGGCGCGATCCCGTTTCCGCGGTCGATCCGCCCTGTGAAGTCGTATCACTATTCTGCCTTGGCCCTGTTTAGGGACTCCGTCTTCGCCTGGTGATACACTTTGGCGCGATCCCGTTTCCGCGGTCGATCCGCCCTGTGAAGTCGTATCACTGTTCTGCCTTGGCCCTGTTTAGGGACTCCGTCTTCGCCAAGTGATACACTTTGGCGCGATCCCGTTTCCGCGGTCGATCCGCCCTGTGAAGTCTATCGCTGTTCAGTCTTTGCCCTGTTTAGGGACATCGATCAACCCTATACGACCGGACCAGATCAACCCTATACGACCGGACCAGATCAAAGATCAACCCTATACGACCGGACCAGATCAACTCTATACGACCGAACCAGCTACGTTCGCAGATCAACTCTATACGACCGAACCAGCTACGTTCGCAGATCAACTCTATACGACCGAACCAGCTACGTTCGCCGATCAACTCTATACGACCGAACCAGCTACGTTCGCAGATCACCTCTATACGACCGAAAGCTACCCTAAACAACAAACCAGTCATACCGGACTCGACACCGATGTAAATGCATTAATAAATTCGACGTTATTGTTCCAAAACCTTTGCCTTTGTCCCCTCATTGTCTTGGCTGTTCACACTTTTCTTCATAAAGCTTGCGGTGGCAACATCCTTATTGGCCACGCAACAAGTGGTGACTTCCCGACGTGAGACAGCTAAGCGATGATGGAGTCGGCCAAAAGTGATTCTCTAGACATGACGGCCGCGATCATACCTCTGCCTGCATACCACCATAATGCCAAGAACTGGTTCTTCCAGGTAGAATCCATCTTTTCAATGCTATGCATCACTTCACAGCGAGCCAGATTCGCGAACGTAATGCAGAAACTCCCATCCGATATGATGGACGAAATTTCTGACGTCCTCTCCGATTTGCGCGAACATGAACCATACGATCACTTAAAGGAAGCGATCCTCAAGCGAACCGGACGTTCCGAGGAAGATATGATTCAGGAAATACTACGGAACGTCACTAGAGGTGACAAGACGCCATCCCAGCTTTTCAGATATATGAGGAACCAGCTGGGAAAGCACAATGTGTCAGAAAAAGGTTCTTCGAGGTTTATGGCTGGAGCATTTGCCCAAATCAGTCGCTCAAATTATCGCACCAATGGATGATTTGGCAGAATCTGCTGATCTAGTCTTTGCGCAGTTTGACCACAGCGTTAACGCTGTTCACGCCACCGACATAGCAAAGCACGAACGCTACGAGCCGAGTAAAACAGAACGGGCGTTGGCCGATCTTCAACGACAAATTCAAGAGATCCAGATCTCCCTGCGCCCACGGACGAGGGAATCGACCCCATCTCGACGGAGACGAACCCCCAGCCGAGAACGGCAAAGCGACCAGGGTGTTTGTTGGTTTCATCGCACATTTGGCGATGGGGCCAGGAATTGTAGACCTCCCTGTACACACCCGTCGGCCCGGGGAAACGAATAAACCGGAGAGTCGCGACGACTAACTCTTCCGGTGCCAACACGCAATGTCGTCTATTTTACGTTTGGGATCGACGGAACAAATTGAAATTCCTGGTAGACACAGGTGCGGCTATCAGCGTGGTACCCTATCAGAAAGACCACACCGCTAAGCCCACCCTTGTCTAACTACGAGCTGCGAATGGTTCCGCGATAGACACGTACGGAGAAACGACCCTTACTATGAATATCGGCATGTGACGTGATTTCACTTGGACATTTACCGTGGCCAACGTGAAGGTACCCATCCTCGGCGCGGATTTCCTGGCGCATTACGCACTGGCGGCCCATATGAACCCTAGGACTCTGTCCGATACGACTACGAATCTCCGTGTCTTAGGTACCCCTACACGTCAAGGCTCCACAGGAATCAGCGTCGCAACATGCCATGGTCACGAGTACTTAGATCTCCTGACACAGTTCATGGATATAACGCTGCCACTCCAAGTAACGGCTTCAGGTGACCATCAGACTCAGCACCACGTCAGAACTCGAGGTCCTCCCGCACACTCCCATCCGCGACGACTCGCTCCGCACAAACTGGCGTACGCCAAGGAGCAATTCGACAAAATGCTCAGTGATGGCATCATTCGTCCTTCCGATAGCCCTTACGCCTCGCCACTACACTTAGTGCCTAAACCTGGTGGTAAAGAATTTCGGATATGCGTCGACTACCGAAAATTAAATTCATCGACCGTACCAGACCGATACCCTGTCCCTCATATCCATGATTTTGCATCCGGACTGGTGGGCGCTCGCATCTTCTCAAAAATCGACCTGACAAAGGCATACCATCAGATCCCCGTCGCTGCGGAAGACGTCCCTAAGACGGCAGTCACAACACCGTTTGGCCTATATGAATTTCTGAAAATGCCGTTCGGTCTACGTAACGCTGCCCAGACCTTCCAACGGCTCATAGACGAAGCCCTGCGTGGACTTCCGCACGTATACGCTTACATCGACGACATCTTGGTGGCCAGTACAGACGCCGATTCTCACAGGCAACACCTGCGAGAAGTCTTCCAGCGACTCTCGCACTACGGCCTGAAGTTGAACCTGGACAAGTGCGTTTTCGGGGCGCCCAGCGTTGATTTTCTCGGGCACCGCACCGACGCAAACGGCATAGCACCTCTGCCAGACAAGATCAGCTTGATCCGGGATTTTCCTACACCGACGTCCATGAAACAATTGCGATGTTTCCTCGGTATGCTCAATTTTTATCGTCGGTTCATCCCGAATTGCGCTACCATCCTCCAGCCACTGACGAACCTGCTGCAGAGAAGGAATAAGGACATCTCGTTGGAGGGAGATGCTCTGCACGCATTCCATACAGCGAAGGCTGCATTGGCAAATTATACTAGGCTCTCGCATATCAACGACGATCCGGAGACGCGACTCTTCCTGACAACCGACGCATCGGACGCTGGCGTAGGCGCGGTGGTTGAGCAAGAATTCAATTCACAACGCGAACCCATCGCATTCTTTTCAGCCAAGCTTTCGCCAGCCCAGAGAAAATACAGCACCTTCTCCCAAGAGCTGCTGGCCATTTATCTGGCCGTCAGGCATTTCAGGCACTTACTGGAAGGTCGAGATTTTACCATCTATACCGACCATAAACCGTTGACGACCGCGATGAGTAACAACTCTGACAAGTATACAGCTCGCGAGATCCGGCATCTGGACTACCTGTCACAGTCCTCGACCGATATTCGTCACATAAAGGGGAAGGACAACGCCGTCGCAGACACATTATCGCGAGCGGAAATTCAATCTCTTCAGACCGGCGTCTTGGGTCAAGATTCCATAGCCACTGAACAAAAATCCGACCCCACGCTGCAAGACGTCCTTTCAAATACTTCTTTAAAGCTTCGGGAGTTCCCTGCATCCTTCAGCGACGACACCCTGTACTGTGACACCAGCCTAGCAAGCCCTAGGCCCTACATCCCACCGACACTTCGGAGACAGATATTCCAACATTTCCACGGGCTGTCTCATCCGAGTAAGAGAGCTACGGTCAAACTTATTATCGACCGATTCGTTTGGCCCAATATGAATGCGGACATTCGAGAATGGGTTTCCACGTGCATGGAGTGCCAGAAGTGTAAGGTCCACCGACACACTAAATCCCCCGTCGGCACCTTCAGCAGTCCCGATGCACGGTTCTCACACATACATGTCGACTTAGTGGGACCGCTTCCGATGTGTCGGGATTACCAGTATCTTTTGACGGTTGTGGATCGTTTTTCGCGGTGGCCGACCGCCATACCTATAAAAGACATTTCTGCAAGCACCGTCTCCAGGACCATCCTGAAAGAGTGGATTGGAACTTTCGGCACGCCCCAAGTCATCACGACCGACAGGGGGTCACAGTTCCAGTCGTCCCTTTTTCGGGAGTTTACCAATCTACTTGGTGCCAAGCACATAAAGACTACCGCTTATCATCCGTGCGCTAACGGCTTAGTTGAAAGGTTTCATCGGTCCCTTAAAACCTCCCTGGCCACTAGACCTGACACTATCAATTGGGTGGACGACCTACCTTTAATTCTCCATTGAGAAATACCGTAAAGGAGGACTTAGGTTGTTCACCCGCCGAACTGGTTTTCGGTACACCTCTTGCGCTGCCCGGCGAATATTTCGACGACTCCCTTCAGACGTTTTCAAAACCAACATCTCCATTCGTCGAGGAACTCCGCCACAAAATGGCCCGGCTTAAATATGCAACTCCGCGACAGCAACCGGTGAATTCGTACATCCCTCAACACTTGCGAGATTGCAAATTCGTCTTCGTACGGAACGACGCCGTGAGACGACCACTCACGCCGGCATACCAAGGTCCTTTTCAGGTTCTTCGGCGCACCGACAAGCATCTTACGATCAAGCGCGCCAACTCGACCGACACCATCGCGATCGATCGGACCAAGCCTGCTTTTCTGGAGAAGCGACAGTATGACGCAAACCCGGCTCTGCGGCCCCCTAATGCTATTCCAGCGCACCCGGCAGACGCAACACCGCAGACATCAAACGACACCCCAGCGACTCCTGTGCAGCAGACCAGATCCGGTAGGAGGGTCACTTTCCCTAAAGACCTTCGTAAATATTATTATTATTAATTGATATGATCAATTTTCTAGGGGAAGGGCCTTGTCACGGTCGCCGATTAGCCGCTCCTTAGAAAGCCGACCTTGACCTTCACAACCCCTGATCTCGCAGATTTAGGTCAAGCAACATGCGAGAAACCGGACGACTAGTCCAACATCGTTAATGCCAAACCGTACCTTGTGAGCATCGGATTACGCAGCACCCCGTCGATCATCGGCAACCAATGATATTAATTTAATATCTACGGTTTTCTACTCCCTCTAGCCAGGGAGTACTTGAATCAATCGTTCCAAATATTGTCAGCCACTTTTTCGTCCAAATCCAAGCTGCCGCGGTCGATCCGCCCTGGAAGACGTATCACCTCTCTGACCTGCTTCGCCTTCGATCCGCCCTGTGAAGTCTTATCACTATTCTGCCTTGGCCCTGTTTAGGGACTCCGTCTTCGCCTGGTGATACACTTTGGCGCGATCCCGTTTCCGCGGTCGATCCTCTCTGTGAAGTCGTATCACTATTCTGCCTTGGCCCTGTTTAGGGACTCCGTCTTCGCCTGGTGATACACTTTGGCGCGATCCCGTTTCCGCGGTCGATCCGCCCTGTGAAGTCGTATCACTGTTCTGCCTTGGCCCTGTTTACCATTTGTGATATTAATGAAAGAGAATATGACACTAACTTGGCAAGATTCAAATAACTGATTGAAATGTACGGTCTCGCCTTAAATGAGAATAAATCTGTCTTCAGAGTAATGAAAATAAAATTTTTGGTCTATGAAGTAAGTAAAGGGACCGTTAGATCGGACTCTGATAGGATGAGACCTCTGCGAGAACTCCAACCTCCAAGCAATATAAAAGCTCAAAAGAGAATCATCAGAATGTTCGCTTACTACAATCGTGAAATTTTCCTTCCTAATAAATACTTCCTTTTTTGTGAAAAAAGAAAGGGTGTATCTCTTTTTGAAATTTGAAAATCAAATCTCAAGAGAAATAAACTGCCCGCCTTTGACCGACTTTATTTCGGCGGGTTTTTTTCGAACTATTCTATTCTTTAAAAGTTTAAAGACCAAATGTTACACATCAGATTTATTAGTTATTTTATACTAACCGTCAGGCTTTCCTTTAATTATTTTAAACACTTCTCTTAAAAGCAAAAAATGTAATAAACAAATCTAGTCTATATTTTATTATTTATATTCACCTTTTTTAATTATTTTACGTTACTTTCTTTTAATTTTCATTTTTAGAAAAAGATTAATAAACAAACTTTGAGAAGTTAATTTATTGTATTATTTTTTATTATGTTATACTCACCTTTTAGTTATTTTACCTTACTTTTTTCGTATAATTTTGTTTTATATAGTAGGCACCCAAATTTGCGATAGGAAAAGTGACTGGGATTGTCAGTCCACAGTCCGTCGTGGTTGATAGCATACTGCGTCATGTTAATTATCTTTGCAATCAACTTTGTGTAACAAGCGGAGCGGATGATACATTTTCGAGGACAGTGAAGATAGAACTGCGCACATTCAACAACTTTTCAGCAGAGGTCGATCGAGACAGATGGTGAAGCCCCTGCCTTGCAAAGAAACATCAACCAAAACGACCCTTTATTTGTTGGTGCTGTGATCATAAGTTCATCATGGGAATATAGCAGTAAGTTACTCGTCCCGTCGAACGAAGCGCCCGCGTGTCACTTGCATTCTCTGTTGAAAATTAAAGGAAATCGGCAGGTTATATGTGGCAAAGAAGAACGGATGTGGTTGGCGTGTGTTTATTGCGGCGGATGGCGGAAATATCCGGCAAGCATTCGGTGGTGTCCCTCGACCGCACAAAATGAAACGAGAGAGTTTGTTGGTGATTGTCAGTGTGTTAA